ATTTTGGGATATAGTTCCTAAAAATGGGATTTTGGGATGTTTTTCTTAAAAATGGGATTTTGGGATGTATTTCCCCAAAAATGGAAAAATGGGGTTTTGGGATATAGTTCCTAAAAATGGGGGTTTTGGGATATAGTTCCTAAAAATGGGATTTTGGGATGGATTTCCCCAATTTTTGGAGGAATTTTGGGCTCCTGAGGGGTAGGAGGCTCCGAGGCGCGGCTGGAAGTGAGGAAAGCCGTTAATTAAGCTCCTCGTTAGCGGTGTGGCTGGAGCCGTTAATTAAGCTCCTCGTTAGTGGTGGGGTTCAGGACCCTCCCCGAAGCTGCTCCCGTTGATTATTTTGGGCTCTCCCGGCCCCTTTTCCCAGCCCTGATGTTCCTGCTGGGAATCCTGGACTTCCTCTTCGTCAGCCACGCCTACCACAGCATCCTGACCCGCGGCGCCTCCGTCCAGCTCGTCTTCGGCTTCGAGGTGGGTGCGCGGCGGCGGCGCGGCGGCGGCGGCGCGGCCGGGGCGGGATGTCCCACGCGGCGCCGTTGCCGTCCCCAGTACGCCATCCTGATGACCATGGTGCTGACCATCTTCATCAAGTACGTGCTGCACTCCATCGACCTGCAGAACGACAACCCCTGGGACAACAAGGCCGTGTTCATGCTCTACACCGAGCTCTTCACCGGTAGCGGCGCGCCGGGGGGGGCGGGCGTGGGGAGGTTTAATTAGGTGTTGGTTAATTAGGGGTTGAGGCGGTGGTGGGGCTCAACTGGTCCGGGTTGGTCAGTGAAGTTCTGGTGCTCAACTGGTCCTGGTTGGTCAAAGTCTTGGTGGGGCTCACTTGGTCTTCGTTGGTCAACGAAGACTCAAGTCCTGGCGCTCAACTGGTCTGGGTTGGTCAGTGAAGACTCAAGGTCCTGGTGGTGCTCAACTGGTCCTGGTTGGTCAATGAAGAGTCAAAGTCTTGGTGGGACTCAACTGGTCCTGGTTGGTCAATGAAGACTCAAG